GACCGGCAGCTGCCCATGCACAGTCCATGCGCCGTTGTAGAATCTCTGAGGTAAGCTGATTCAACATGACTCGAAAATCCCAACCTCTGTTCAGATATTTTGCCTCTACTCCAGCCAGGCTGCGACACCATGTTGGTGCCAATGTCTTCGAAAATCTCCGCTTGCGTGCCCTCTCCTTCACCTACAGACCAAAACCTCAGCATGGCCGGCACAAATGTCACAGCTGATTCGGCCATTCCAGCATCCAGCATGGCTGTTGGAATGCCATGCACCATCTGCATGTGGCTTGCAACTTCTGGCTACAACCTGCAACCAAGGGACGTGTAATCATAGGTGAAGTGCTTTGGATTCCTGTCATACTGCTTAAGCTGTCCTTTCCATCAGCTCGGCAACCAGGCTTTAAGACACTTACAGCAGCCAAGTCCTGTCTGGACTCATCGTGACCGTCTTCCCACTCATTGATACCTTGACAGGTTTCAGCACACAAACAAAAGGTGTTCGCAGTTGAAACCATGCTCTCTGTCCAATGCTTCCCGGAATTGCCCGACAAAGATACCACGATGTCGCATTTGAGCTTCTTCTCTCGCTGGTTCAAGGGCCGTGCCCGGACGGCAACCTGACATGGATAAGATGTACAGTTGGAAAGCTATGAAAGGATGAATACACTTCCTGCTCTCAAAGCAAGATCCTTCTGTTTGAAACATTCAATATGCCCCAAACCCTAGCAGAAGGGCCATGAATTCCGTTGTAATCCTTTCAGGCCTGCTGACAGCATTCGTGTTATCGAAACATTCCGGCAACACATGTCATATTAGAATTAACGCTGAGCTAAAACCCCATGTCCTGAATCCTGAAGCCTAAGACACTATAAACCCTGAACCCCAAGCTGTTATACCCTTGGCCTTGATGCTCTCCTCCGTTCCAGGCATTTCTGCGGCTTTTTCGGGCGTCTGCCGCAAATCTAGTGGGCCTGACTCAGGGGATCCAAGGGCATGTTCTGTCGGTTTGGGGATTTCCTCTGATGAGGATCCTAGAATATTTGGCGGGGACCATTTCGGGGCTATATAACGGTTTACTGGGGATTAATTTGTTTTAGGGTTTCTCCATGTTATATCATGGCTCTCTTCTTTTTGGAAATCAGGGATAAATTTTTGGCGTCCCGACAGCAAGAACGAGAAACGACAAACCCCTACCAGTGATGTACGAGAGGGAACTACTTTCCAATGTTTGAACCACAGATTCGCACTTTAAGGTATTTGAGAGTTCACCCAGACTGGATCCTTTGGATGTTTTTGGATTGTTCTGTATGTGTTGGAGCCTCATTAGTACAGGGGTGTTCAATATCGTGTTCTCACGAGTAAGCTGATCAGTTTAGAAGTTTGTTTTGGTCGAAGGAATTACCCTAAACCCTAAACCCTAAACCATTAGGCTTCAAGGTGAAAACTGGGATGACCTCCAGGAACCTTCAGAGCCAAACACTCAAACAAACAGAGGAGCGCTTTTCTGGGTTGCTGTTAAGGAACTTAAATTAAGTTACCATAATGGATATATATAGCAAATAAGAGGGTTTCCCCAATATAGTAACTTAATTTAAGTTCCTTAACAGCAACCCAGTTTTTTGCTTGTGTAGGGCTGGTGCAGCCGTAGCATCTGAAGTTCTACTCTCCAACTTCATGCCCGACTTCTGCGTGATAGACTTAACAAGAAAGAAATGTCTGAAGGATATGGTAGTTTCTCAAAATAAGGGGACCCCAATATAGACCCCCAAATACTGTAATCCTTGTTATGGGGACCCCCAAAATAAGTACCCCTAATTTTGGGAAACCCTAAACCCCATAATCCCCCATATATTCCCAGTTTCCATTTTGTTTTCCATTTTCTTTTCCATTTGATTCTCCATTTTTTTGGGGGTAACATCCCTATATATCCCTATGGTACCCCCTAATTCTGGGAAACCCCCATATCAACCCCCAGACCGCAGGGCTGACAGGGCCTACCGCGCGCCCGGCACACAGCGCTGTCGGCCGAAGCGCGTCATGGCGAGGTGTTCGAGCCCAGCTGCTTTTGGAGACGGCAGAGCATTTTCAACATCACTTGTTGCTGCTTCTCTGCTGCAAGAAATTTCCGGGTCCAAAGCCATATAGCTGTGTAGGTGGGAGCTCGAAACACGGCAACCAGTTGCGGGGCGAGAAGATGGGGTGCTGGCAGAGACGTGCTTTAGGCGCCTGTTCAAAAATCCTTGTTAACTACAGACACCTTTGCGGTACTTTTGCATGCAGTTCTCGGAGATTGCCAGTCGGAGGCCCTGAAGTCTCCAACAAGTCTTACTCACCCAGAAGGCCTGCAACAAAACCCTGCAGTTCCAGCAACCCTCTCTGTCTAGATCGGCTGCGTGAACGCCAACAGTCCACTATACATCTTTGTTCATGTTCCTACTTGTGCATATAAACTCGGCGTCCTTTGAGTCTACTCATAAAGTACCTACCACTGTAGAGGAACACCTATGCCCAATCGAAGCAGTTGTAGAAAGTCATCAAGCTTCCCTGCAGGCGTCCACGCACCCATCCTACTGCTGGCCCTCCTGGGCTCCAGTTCATGAGTAATTGCGTTTGGCAACCAGTTGTCACCCGAGCCCAATAATTAATTTCCAGAAGCCTCAAAGCTTGATTGGTGCCTCTTAAGCCTGGGCCCTAAGCTCTTTTTCATTTGGTACCCTGCGGCTTCGTGCCGCAACCCAGAACCCCAACCCCTTCTTGATATGAATCCTGTGAATCCACGTACTAAGCCTTAAGCCCTAAACCCTCCAAGCCCTGGTCTTACAGTCTAAATTTCAGGGGGGTTCCCAGAATTGGGGGTCCATTTTGCGAGGTGCCTATTAAAAGGAGTATAATATATTGGGGTCTATACTGGGTCTGCCTGTTTATGGATATTACCAAATGACTCCCTCGGACCTGGCTTAGGGCCGTCAGCACAAATCCCAGCGCCGCTGCGGCGGTGGCCGCGGCACTATCGGAGGAGCCCTCTACACCTACAAACGGCTCAGCATAGGATTTGGGCTCTTGCGTTAGGACTTTGAAACTTTGGGCCTTCTGCACCTGCACATGCACAGGAGGTCGGATGTAGGATGTTAAGATTCCGTAGGGCTTGAGGGTTGCATCATATGCCTACCCTCAACATCTGCAAAACGTTTGCCGCTTATTAACAAGAAAAGCTATGCAGTCAGGACGCGCTCAGGCGGTCGAGATAGAACAGAAATCCCAAAGACATGCTACAAATCCTCCAGCTGTGAACAACCAATCTGTCCCAATGACATGTAAAGGCTTGTGACGGAGACAACATGAGACAACCTAACCCCGCTGTACACCTCCTTTTCCTGAGCAAGTACCAAACAGTTGACCCCAGGAACTCCAGCAAAAGCGTCCGGCTGAAGAACCCACAATCTCCACATTGCGCAACCTTCAAGATTGGCCGCATCCACATAAGCCATAGTCTAAACTCCTAGCATCCCCCTTAATATCCCATATAGTAGTCCTCCATAGAATTCCCTACATAACCCCCTTTAACTGTAGTTTCCTTAGACCTATAAAAAAACATACTTAATATTTCCTCAGGGTTATACCATAATAAAAATTGAACATAATTCCTAAGGACAGTACAGTTAAGGAGTTTAGATTATGGCTCACATGCCCATACGAGCTATAGCCTAAACTCCTAGTATCCCCCTTCATGACCCCTATAGTAGTCCCCTATATAATTCCCTCTATAGTCCCCCTTTAAGGAGTTTAGACCAATGCCCTTACAGCTGCGGAACGAGGTGGCCTACGAGGCCGGAATGGCCTCAGGATGCACCGGCAAAGGAGTTTCGGGATCACTGAGGCTTCCGTACAGCCAACAACAAGGCCCGAGATTGGGGGGTATATAGGGGATATATAGGTGAAATATAGGGGTTATATACATATATGGGATACATAAGGGATATATGGGGGATATATAAGGGATAAGGGAAAATAAAACGGAAACTACTATTTAGGGTTTAGTCTACACTGAACTGCATTTCCGCACCGTGCGAGCATATGCACGAAAAAGAAAGCCATGCCGCAGTGGCCCTTTTGCCGTTGCAGGCTACATGCCGAGTATACAAAGCATGCGCTGGCATGCTTCTTGCTCTTGAGGGCAGACTCGCAATGTACGTGGTGAGGTCCAAAGGTCTAGGGCATGGTCGTCATGGATTCTATATACTTTCCATTAGGCCCTGCAAGTCCGGACAGGCTCAAATTGCTTCTAGTAGGGAATGTGCATCCCTACAATCAAGAACCCTTAACCTCCCCCTCCATGGCCTCCCCCACCTTCTCTAACATCGAATAGACTTCCGGCCGTGAACATCTCACTCATATATCATCATATATCAAACCCAGACCGTGATGAGCCTTGCTTTCGGCGTGCAAGAAGGGACGGAGGGCAGCAGAAAAAGAAGAGTGGGAAAGGAAGTTGCGAGCAGTCAAGCGACATAGGGAGTACGCGGCAAGGCAGGAAGGGAAAAAGAGTGGAACGGGAGGGGAAAGGGAGATGGGAGGCGGCCTTGGACGGTGGTTCGGAGCTTGGAGTGATTTAGAGCGATTTAGCATGAGTTAGAAAAGGTGGGGGACCCTGCCGTTCTATTGGGGAGTTGTGCAAAGTCCCATTGGAGCCGGAAAAAACCCCCACCTTCTGTAAATCATTCTAAAACCCTGAAAAATCACTCTAAACTCTAAACTTCCTGCTCCCGATGTCCACTCCCCTTGCGCGCAAGCTGGGGGAGCGCACATGGCAAGGTTTGTCTGCCACTAATGGCCTCGGGCCATAAACGAAACATAGACAAGAGTCCTTAATTTGGCGGCGTGTTACCATGTTGGCAGGCGTGCCCGTTTTCACTTAGATTTTGTTCAGTTTCGTTCAAGTGTGGTGACCCAGAACCTCCAAGTATCACAGCAGGCAGCAACGTTTGATGCTGAGCTTCTGGCTGGCACTGGAGCGCCGAAGGAACGCCTACCCTCCCCCAAAGTAACATTAGAGTTTGGGTTAAAGGTTTAGGGTCTAGGGTTTACGGACCGGAAAATGGATCCTGTACAGGCTACTCTTGTATAATATCGCTTTGGAAAGAGAACTCGTACTTTCGCAATTGCAAGCCTTAACAAAAAAAATCCAGGCAGTGTTCAGAACCCGGAATCGTGCTAAATACATGAGAAGAGACGGAGAAGAAGAAACTCCAGTACATCAAACAGCTTTCTAGAAAAATTGCCCGCGCGTCTGATTTCTTGAAAGCGCTTTGAAGGATCCAGTGCTGGCGCTGATTAAGAAGACATTGGTCCAGAAAAGCATCTACAGGTCCACCTGGGAATTAGATCCACCTGGGAATTAAACCCCGCACCTCTGGATTATCAGCAGCCACTCTGCCAACTGAGCCACGATAAATTTGGCGCCCTCCACTCATTGGTCCAAATCCATCCGTATATACAGCTTAGAAGATGAATGCTGATTTTCTTAACACTACATTCCGATAGACTTGGCCGCCTCCCATCCCCCCAGGGTCCAAACCCGTGTGTAAATACGGTTACGAAAATGACTGCTGATTTCCTTAACACCATTGTTCAATGGATTTGGCCCCCTCCGATCCCCGGGGTCAAAATCCATCCGTACATGCGACTAAGAAAATGAGCACTGATCTGCTTGAAGCTATCTCCACATCTTTCCCGTCCTCCAGGCAAAGTGGAGGTACTAGCGCCTGCTCCCTGCAAATGCTGCGGCATACTATGAAAACGCTAAGAATATGAGTGGGTACTGGATTCTGAGAGCCACATCCTCATGGTAGAGCAAGCTGGAGACAATGAGAAACCTCTGAGCTCACTGAATTGTTTTCTACCCAAACGCTCGCACTGCAATCGACACATTCCGAATGCCAACCCAGTTTAGTTAGAAACCCTGGCCCTGGGATCTTATTATAATATACCCAAAGCCATATTCTATCTACTTGCGGGGGAATATAGACCCTAAACCTTAGACTAAAAAAATCTCAGGCCTCCAGCATGGATGGCAGCGCCATGTAGTGAGCCCCATGCCTGGCCCCAGGACCCAGGGACACACTGGAGGAATCCCACTACGAAACCATGTACACTGTAGCTCCACTACAACCCTTATATAACCCTTATATAACCCCAATATAATTAACCAGAAGCATTACCCCATGTGGCCTTGAAAGGGATCATACATGCATGGAGTTGCAAATATCTTAGGTTTTTTGGGTCCAGGAGTTGCCAGGACACGTCTAGGTATCCTGGGACCTTTGGGCGGGCAGGACGCACGCATATCAACGTTCTAGCATTCTAGGAGTCAAAATACGCATGTCTTCCCTTGCTGGTGCGACGCAGTTTTGCTGAGGCGCTGTGGCTGCAATCGTGCATCCCTTGAACTTGAGGTCGGGAAGTACCAGCCATCATAAGAATGCCAGCACCTAGCTTCACAGTGATGGTGTTAACTCTCAAGTTTGAAGCCCACTCCACCCGTATTCGCAATCCTCACCTTTGTCTGCTGCTACTAGAAGCCTCACGTTAAGCGGCCTTCAGTGGGACCCTCTGAGATCTGCGCATGAAGCCATGCGACAAGAGTGGGCAGGTGTCCGCTGAAGCACTCGGGGAATAACGGGGAAAGGCTGCTCATAGCCAGCCTTAGGATGTCGATGAGCAGAACGAGGGATGTGTAGCATCTGAAGCTGTGTACCTGCACTGTGCCGGTTCAGGGCTTTAGGAATTCGGGTTATGCGGAACTACCATATATTGGGGGTATATTATGGTATATTGGGGTTATATGAGGGTTATGTCGAGGTTTTACTGGGGATATATTGGGGCTACAGTGTAGGCTGCGGATTTGCGTGGTTCCGGAATGCGCAAACCATCACGCTTAGGACTGTATAAGTGATGATCTGCCAGAACGTAAAGCAGGACCCCCAAGCTCCCGGACCAACCCCTGGAAGATTAAAACAGATAGGCTCCTGGAAAACACCTGTCCAAAACCTGCCAGAGTAGGTCCCTCGCAAGATCAATGGCTCGCAAGAGCCCCACGCACCGCCGCACGATCTGACCCTTAGATCTCGGCACAAAGCCATCTAATGAGCATGAAAGGGCACCAAGCTTCCTGACGCGAGCTGCTGCTACCACCCTTATGTGAGACAACACAAAGCTGTGACTCGACATTGCTTGACCGAACGTAGATTCCTACCTGAAGGTAGGTTTGAGACTGCAGACAGAGAGAAACTCTTGCATTGCCCTGTGGATGGAGCATTGTCAGCATTGTGCTTCTGCAAGCGGGCCTACGGGGTTCTGCATGCCTGTTGAAAGCTGCAGCGTCCAATTTCTTGGGGAGGGTGTGGAGTCGCCCTTGATTCTGGTACTTTAGTAGACAAGCCCAAAAATGCACTACTACCATTGATACGTATACTTCGAGCATGAGGCACCACACACGTGCAAGTAAAACTCGACTTGCAACTTCAGAGACGGCAAATACATGAATACCTGTGCTACCTAATCACGCCTCCCAGGCATCTGAGACCTGGGCAATGCTTGGCAGAATGCTGGGGGACGACGCAGACATTGCCTCGGCAAAGCAGAACCAACAAGCAGGGGAACCTCCGCATCACTCGCAGCGCTTGCTCCTCTCCAACCTGGACTAAAATCCGTTGAGCCGCTTCCTGAACTTTTTGAAGGGTACTAGAATATAATAGAAATTGGAAGCATCAAAAAACAGTTGCTGTGGGGCCTGGTGAGAATAGCCGTATCACAAGACCAACAGTCAAAATGTCCTGCAAACTTATTGCACATGCAGTTCCAACTGGCCCAACAGGAAAGGTCCTTGAGCCCACAAACCTTACTGGTGCTTAAGGGAGAGTGGGGGAGTGGATCCCTACATAATCCCTACATGATCCCTATATACTCCCTATATAATCCCCATATAAACCCCCATAGTGGTTCCTATATTCACTCCCCCACCCTTTTGTAACAGGCTTCCTGAGTCCACCTGGAAGTGTCCTGCCGTTCTCCGAGCAAGCAACACAGCTCCCCACCCGAAACCCCAAACCCTATAATGGTGCCTTCATTCACAATCCCACTCCCCTCTAAGCACCAGTAGATATCAGGTGGAAGCCCAGGCGCAGCTCAAACATCTGCAGCGCATGGAGATGTCAGCGGCAAGCCATGCTCTCACGCTGTTAAGAGTTTAGGGTTTAGGGTGTGGGAACTTCGGGTTTGGGGCTTTCTGGTTTTCTAGTTTGCCGTTTGGAATTGAGCTGCTTTAACAGGATCTGAACAGGGTATCATAAAAAGTTTACAAGGTAATTTGGAGCTTCATCAAGGGCAGGTTTCATCGTGACCTGGCAGTCTGCATATTATAACCTTGTTTCTGGACCACCGAGCAGCTCTGTCTGTTTGGAGTTTCTGGCATCAAGGTTGTGGTGCGGTGGCTGCCCGATGGGCTTAGATGCAAGCAGGCTTCCCGGTAGGATGGCTCAAAAGCTGAAGGTAAGGGCTTCCGCATGGCCTACCTTGCTCGTTCATGTTTCTGTCTGATGGTGGCAGCATGTTAGCATGTTGTGGCCGCTATGGGGCCTCCACGCTGCAGACCACGAAATGACAGAAACTGAGCTTCGATCTTTGCACAGCTGCCCCGAAGCTTTCTCAACACAATGTGTCACTGTTTGAGGATCTCACTGCTAAAGAGTCTACCATTTGGAGTGTGTCAGGGTCCCGTCGCTCGCTTGGCAAATGCCCATTCGCACGCACTTTCTTCCTGCAAGCAACCAGGCGCGCCCACAGTGTTTTGTGCTGTGTTGCGCGCGGCGCGAAACTTCAGAGGCGAGAAGCCTTGCATGGAAGGCTGGCAGACAGGAGCAGGGCTCAGTTGTTCTCCCTCGCGTTGAGCGGAAGTAGGAAGGGACCGCACTCATGTTTAGAGATGAGAGCACTTGCTTTACTTGTGTATTCTCAACCTCTTGCCATGAAGGAGAACTTTTACTTTCCACAGGGCAAGCCAAGCTAAGCAAGCTCGAGTTATCAATTCACCGCGACGATGCCCTTCCTGGGGCGCAGGCCGAGCCAATCCAAACCTCAGATAAGGCTTCTGGCAGCTTGCATGGGCCTCGCAACTCCTTGGCTTTCGACAGGCATTTCTTCAGCACGATCCTCTACTCTGAGGCGGAGAAACAGCTAGTCAAAACAGCCGGGCTCATGGATTTTACTTCGCACTTTTGCATCCCGCCGTCCGGGACCTGTGACCTCCAGCCTTGTGAAAAGAGCATTGAGCCACTTTGGGACTTACAGGTCTGCCGCAGGTTGAAAGTCTGGATTCAGACTGCAAGGCTTGGGTTCATTGTACAATTGGCAGCTGCGCCCTCTTGCCCGCACACTTCGGCTTCAAACATGTGCTGCGCCACCATGCGAGGTGCCGCGGCGCGAGGTGGCAGGGTGCTAAGTCTTGTCACGGTGCAGCTGATCCTCCACGCTATCTTTTTCAACGCTATGCCCCCAGCTAGTAACTAGTGGACACACCCAAACTGGGAAAGAGACAATCAGGCCCTCGGGCGCTGCGTGCCTACATCATTTGGCTGCTTCTTAAGCGGGACTGGAGTGCCTCTACGAAGTTTTAAATGGCTACGCTCATTTCCTCCACTCCCACTGTAGGAAGCACAGGTGAGAGCTTCAACTGACGAGTGCCGCGCGCATATGGTACATCAACCAACAGGCACGCACCACATCCGGCAGTTGCTGGCCAGGAAGGCCGACGACTACGCATGCAAGTTGAGGCATGTGCTGACGGACGTGGACTCTGAGATGTAGAGGGTGAATCCTGCTAAGGCCCAAGCAAAGAGGCTACCTTCACATACCTTCACGGGTCACAACTGGGCTTAACCGCAAAAATCTTGTTGAGAGGGTTTCTGTAGACTCAGATTCCATCCTCTGACTTTTTTTCTGCTGTTCGGCCACTGTTTGGCCTCACGACATCTTGGGACTCACGCGACCTCAGTGCGCATCTGGGAGCATGACATGTGCAACTTTCTCAGCTGTGGCCCGTTAACGATGCTTGCTTGCAGTGCCTCCTCCAGTGGCTTGCTTGACCGCTCGGGCAGTATGCAAGGGAGGCAAAGCTAAGCAACCCCCTGGACTTCTTCAGACACACCAGCGCCTGCTGCTGGATCGGACTGACAGGACACATGGACACATTATCTTCACAAGCAGCAAGGCACCCAAGTGCCTTTTCCAGCATTACATCAAGGCTTTCCGTCGTTACTTCTCTGCTGGATTGCACTGCACTTTCTGGTTTAGCTGGCCATCTGCGCCTGTATTATTATATAAGCCAACTAATCGCTTCCCCTTATACTAACCCCACCCTCCCTAAAACAAAATACGGGTTCGCCAGAATTCCAAATTCTACGCCCAAGACTACTTTGGAAAGGCTCAAGACCAGAGCTAATTACGGCTCGGATTCTCTGAACTAGGGAGTCTCCAGCATGACTTTTGGGGACTAGGGATCTCCTTGATTTCCTAGATGCTGATTGTTTTCGAATGGCTGCTACAAAGGAAATTATGTAAAATCTGAGAGCTTCAACTGTTTGTTGCGATGTTACATCGCTTTTTAATTGGACTCCAATGAATTTTTATTCGATTTCAGATGATCTTAATCCGATTGAAGTTAGGTTTCGATTCGATTACATATCTTCTAATCGGTTTGATTACGACTTAAAACTGATCTTAAACAGCTTTTATTTAGACTTCAATGAGATTTCAGTTGCTTTTGATTTGGTTTTAATTGGCTTTATTACGGCCTTATGAATTAGGTTTAAAGGGTTGTCTATTCGATTTAGTTGATGTTTACTCGATTTTACTTAGATGTGCATAGAATCCTATTACATATCCATAACATTCGGGTCGTACGATACATGTCCCGTCCCTAATGTAAAATACGGGTCGGAGTATATGCATTTGGTGAGGAGACGTTTAAGACTAGGGGGAAAGGATTAGTGCAATATCATACGTGTGCCGTGTAGTTCTGCAATGCTGTTTCCCACCTCGCTGCACAGTTGACGTTGCCAACTAACAGATTTTGCTAGAGGCAGCCTCTACTGTCCACCCCAAACCCTAAACCCAGGACTCGCTGGCTCGGGAATGGATTCCTTATTGAGGAGGAGTCAAAGTCACAAGCACAAGAATGGATCTAGGTAGGGTTTAGTAGGGAATGTATGAGAATGAAGGCCATGTAGGGATGATGGAAAAGAAACTGGAAACTACTAAAATGGTGCTATATAGGTTTCGTTGATATATAAAAATAAGGCTTGCCTTGTCATTGCTTTGTTTAGAAGGGGGTTACCAAGACCAGAATGTTGCAGTCACCTACCAGGGCTAACGCAAAGCAACATACCAAGACCAAAAGAAATCGCACGTTGAACAAACCAAACCCCATACAATGAGATTGAGCTTGCTGTTAAGAAAACCTACTCGCAGGCTCATGGACATCTACAAACGGAATAGCAGTATCCAATTTGGTTGAAATTACTATCCGCATCCTTCTTAAGTCCTCATTCCAAACTCCACCAAGCCTACTCCCTAAACCCTACATAACCCCTATCCCTGTACTGTAACCCCCTTTAAACCCCAAAAGGCATATTGTGTCAGGCTCTTCCCTAGGCCGGCTTTGAGCTGGGAGCTCGGCGAGTCCGAGCCTGAGCCTGGCGGCTGCAGGGGTAGCTGTAATTTTGGGAATTAGGGGTCATATAAGGGTTATGTTGGGACTTAGGGTTTAGGGTGTATTGGGGTTATATTGGGGGTATATAAAAATATTTAATCATATACAGATTTGTAGGAGTTATAGTGGGTTTTACAAGGGTTACAAATGGCAAAGAAAATGCAAACTACTATGCAGGGTTTAGGGCGCAGCAGCCGCAGTAGCAGCAGCAATTGCTGTTGATGGTGTTTTAATCTTTGTTTTCTTCCTGCTGTTGTTGCTGGGTTTGTCCTTGCTGTCCTCCTTCTTCCTCTTCTTGCTCTTCTGATTATTCTTACTCTTCTTCTCTCCTTACTCTTTGTACCATTCTTAGTCTTATCTATTCTTATTTCTCTGATGCGTCGTATCCTTATTATTGTTTTTTATTCCTCTTATGCTTCTTCTGTTTCGTATTATGCTTATTATTTGTCGTCGTATCATTTTCGCTTTCTTCTTGTTGTTATTCTTGCTATGTTTTGTGTTGTGCTTCCTCTTCTTTGTGCTGTGGTGGGGTGGTTGCTGTTGTAGAAGTATGCAGAAGTAGCAGTTGCTTTTTGTTGCTGCCAAGAGGCAGGGGCACGCGAAAGCATTAGAAAAGCGATGCAGTACGCACGGCAGGGAACGGCAGGGGTAAACACAGACAGAGATGGAATGCGGCATGACTCCATCAAAAATGATAAAGATGCTGATGGAATAGCGCGAAGCTCCAGCGAATAAATGACAATAGCCGTGACAATAACCAGCGCAACCATGAAATTCAAGCAGATCATGTCAGAGCTCGAATGTAGTAGAGGGCGGGGAGAGTGCATCTATGCTATTCAACACTGACTAGGTGAAAGGCA